ATTATTAGAAATAATTAATTTTGATAGAAATTATGAGAAAATTTTGTGAAATAATTTCCAAATTATTATAGCATTCTCGGATGGCAGTCCGTTAATTCATGAAATTCCAATGCAACTTGACATGAACTGTCAAGCATCACGGAGTGATACGATGCCGACAAAAGTTGATGATTATATATGTATGAAATCATTGCATCCAAAATATTTCGATACACCACGTGTATGTTATGTACGTGTTATATATCACATTTCATGCTGAAATTTATTCAATCGCTTCATATCGTAACATTTGTAGCAATTAATTTTTTGAAAAAAAAATTTATTCAATAATTTTTTATTTTCTATTTATATAATTCTTTTTTCGAAGATATCTTTTTTCTTTTTTCAATTTTTTATTTTTGTCAATTCTGTTCATTTATAATTATGCTTGATACAATAATTTTCTTATTAAAAATTAAATTTAAAATTGGTAATTAGGGTGATAGTGGTAGTGGTATGCAACAAATTAACGATAATGGAATAGCAACGGTAGTTGGTATTACATCATATGGCCTAAAAGGATGTCCACCAAATGAACTTGCTCGATTCACACGAGTTGATTGTTATCTTAATGAAATATGTGAAATAACAGGTGTTTGTTATACTATACAAAATTGAATGGGAAAATAAATTTGAAATGGTAATTTTAATTTTAATTTTTCTATGAAACAATAATTTCAGTTTCATTTTTTTTTTCGTATTTGTATGAAACTATTGCTTGAAATAATTTATTTTGAAAATGTAAAATTTAAGGAAGGAATGTATAATTTCTTGGTAAAAAAATTTACCAAATAACTGATATAATATAAATTTAGGACAAAATTTTAAAATTTTCATATTTCTATTCCAAAATTTTTAAGTATATTGTATCCATATATATTCGTACATAATATTTGTGCTTTCAATAATATTGCAGGCTGATGGCTAATTATCTCAGACTTTCAAAATGTTAGAATTGAATTCAAAAAGTTAATTTGTATTAAATGATTAATTAAATTATTAATTTAATTAAGCATTTAATAAATAATCATTGATTAATAGGTAAAAGATAAAATTTATCCATTAATTTTTCACTTTACTAATACCACACACTTTCTTTATTGAACATTTCGCTTAACAATTCCATGAATAATTTAGTCGTTAGAGAGTAAAGCTATCAGACTGAAATTTGAAAATAGAGGGAAATTGGGACACTCAGAAAGACTAATCGAATAGCCGCACCAAATGTTCACAAACGAACATCTCTTAGCTGAGAAATTTTTACATCATCGTTAAACGGATAGGGAATTGAACTTGGAACCAAACACTTGTTCGAAAGCACACGGACCACTACACGAACAATACACCACGAACAAGTGGTGTTGAAATTTGAATTAATAAAATGTTTAATTTGTTTCAGATTTTCAAGAAAAGAAATCATAGCCAGAGAAAATTATAACTATTCCTTATGGAAAATATAAAATCTTCATTGCCAGAAATGGAAAATCTACTTTTACAAGATGAAATTACAGGGCGAAATTCCTTTCGATATAATTCCAAACATATTTCCCTGAAATATTCAATCTTTTTCTGTCGGGAATGTCCCAAAATTGGAATTATCGATAGCAAAAAAATGTTAAAATCATCAAAACATTTTATGGAGATCATATTTGTAACAAAGTCTTATTGCAAAAAATCACTATAATACCGCTTTTATTACTATAATATCACCTTAATATTACTATAACTCTCGAGAAATGAAAATAGCTATGTAATATAAAATAATTATGTAATCAAAGTATCATTGTAAATTTATTTTTATACAAATCTTTAATATCAATAATTCTCAGTCAAATGATAGAATTATACTCTGTTCAACAATTCACGATTCTAAAGAAATACTCGAAATGATTAACATCAAAATAACTCCCTCCCCCATTTTTACACTATCGGCTTCATTTTCAAAGGACCACGGCTAACAACCGTCATCCTTGGCTTTATCTATTGTATGACTCACCATCAATTTTATCTACTTTGTAGGTTCGGATGATTCATAATTGGCTTTATCTCTTGCATGCTTAAACGATTAGTCTCATCAATTACACGATTCTTCTTTGTCCATACAACTCTTTGTAACTCTTTTCTTTACGTACTATCAATTTCGGCTATAAATATCATCAGTTGTCTCTTAACATCAGAGCTTACCGATCACTGCTCAGCGAGGACAGTAGAGCCGTTAAACAACAAATTATTCAATCGAGAACTTTTACGACTTCCTAAAATCACAATATTATCACTAACACCCCAAATATCACTATAATATATTATTATGTCTACAGTTTCTAAATATCACGATATCACCATAATCTCGTGTTGTCTATAGCTTCAAATATCACTATATCACTCTAATATCATATTATTATGTCTATAGCTTCTGAATATGACAATATCACTATAATACCGTGAATATCACTATAATATTAATAGTTAACAAAATGATTATTTGTCACTGCTATTCATTATTATTATTGTTATCATTTGTTGCTACCATAATTAATTGTCCGTCATTCTTACTCTCATAAACTAATGCTTTTAAAATCAATGAATGTGACAAATAATAACAGTGATAATTCAAATTAATGACAAAGTAACTAGGATTTAAGATTTGAAATTTAGTTGTTGTGTTTTTGTGAAGTTATTAAAAGTATTTTAAAAAGCAACAATTAATAAGAAAGAATTTATTAAGAGAGGAAGGAAGAAATAGAAAGAGGGAGAAGGAGAAAACAAATTTCCGCAATCTAAGTATGAATTTCAATACTCCTATACTTCGTATTTAAATGCATGGTTTGTTTAATCATTAAAACATATAGTTAATTGGTGATGCATTCAGTTATATTTTGATTATTGTTAATTACCGACAAATATAAATTATGTAGCAATTATCAGTGGTAATAATTTAATAAGCTCAAATTAATAGTCATTATAATAAATAAAATAAGTGCTAATGAATTTTGATAAATTGATACTGTGCCAAAATTTGCAACTTTAGATGACTTATTTTATTAATTTTCAGTTTGAAATTTACAGTTTTTAACTTATATTTATTATTTAAAATTTCCTATAATAATTGTTGTTAGACAACATGATCTAATCCACTAAGTAATTGACAGAAAATGGAAATGTCCCAACATATTTCATTTGAATTTCATATCTGAATATAAAATTAAACATTTTTGAATTTGTAAAATTTGAAAAAAAATAGTAATTTAACCAAATTTTCAATTCTCAAAATTTTAACAAATTTATTGATATGATAATTTTAACATATAGATTTTAAACATATTTCAAATAAGTTTCACTTTCTCTTCACATGATGATATTATCTTGTTCCATGAAACCTGTCGAATCATTTGCAATATTGCAGATAAATTATTAAAAATAGTGTACTGTTGAGGGTACTGTATACAGTGCATGCGGTGCAATATGTCGTGGAAAAAAGTAAAACTGATGTAGATTTAATAATTCGTTAAATTCAGGTAAAAGTGTAAAACAAACTTTTTAAATTTATTACATTAAAGAAAAATATTCCTATTGCTGAATTAATATTACACATTACTGCCATGTTTATCCTACTGATGACATATTAATTTACTGTTAGCGCATTTATCATGTTATAAATGCAATTGCCATGTTCTTTACTCATTTGCTGTATGATTTGCTTTGTTTTATACGGATAGAATAGAACAGTGTCAGATCGATTTAGATATGAATGAAATAGATGAATGTAATCATTAGAAAAAATACTTATTCAAAATTTATGTTGCATTAGAAGTATAATATTATAACATCGTATAAAATATGTACGTATAACTTATTCGTACTACGTATAGTAATTAAAATAATGATTATTATTCTCAATTATTACGATAATTCATCCAAGAATAAGGATTTCGTGAAATCGATTGACTTTTCTTTTTAATCATATTTTGCCAAGAATATGGATTCAATGGAGCCGGCTTCTCTAAAATGAACAACAAATTACGCGATGATGATCTGACAGCCTGAAAATTAACAGCTATTATAAAATTTATTGATTAAATATTTAAATAATTAATGGAAAAATAGGAAAAAGAAATTGTAGATTTCTAATTGCTTATCATAATTTCGATCTTGCAGTTCTATCCAAACAATCATTTAAAATTTTGCTAATTAGATAAATTTGTGCTTGAGGATAATTTTCAATTTTTTAACAAATTTTTGCCTCAACTTTTTACATTTAATTACATTTGCTATTTCTAGCTTCAATTCAAATATTTTCAAAAACCCATCAAAATTGCTGTATTAAAAATTATTCTACCACAATTGTTAGACAAATGACAAATGCTTAATTTAAAGCATTTATTATTGAAAAATTTTGAACAATTTCATATCATGATATTATTTTGTTGTAATGCATTTTTGGTTTTTCAGTTTGGTAAATTTTTTGTATAATCCATAAAAATAGAAAATATGTGAAAACTATGCGATTAATGAAAAGATTATAAATATCAATAAAGTTGTAAATTCAAAAATAATAGAAAATTTCTCGGCAGGAAGAAATTGTATATAAAAAAAGTGCTATTAAATTTTGAAACATCAAAGGGAATAAGCAAATAATTAACACAAATATAGTAATCGAGAAATTATATATCGCAGTGGATACAAATGCTTTAATTATCAGAATTTTACAAATTTAGTTAATGCAAAGCATATTTTTACATGAAAAAATATGTAGCTCACACGGGAAAATATTTTATCGCGGTACCGCAGGATGAATATTTTACTAGATATAACACGATATTTCTTCTTATTTTTCAACTTATAATGATAAATTCCTTGTGGTTTTAGAACGTTTTTAATTTCAATAATAATAATCATAATTTTCATATTTAAACGCTAACATTTCATTTACTCGAAATTATTAGCTAATAAATAATATTGCTAACTAAGCAAAAGAGTGAGGAAGAATAAAACTTTAAAAATTAACAAATTCAGTTAATTTAATATTATAGCTATAAATTTTTGCTAATCTTTTCTAACAATTTATCATGTCAATTTTCCTTTTTTTTTTCTTTTCTTCTTTCTATAATTTTGATTTATTTTTATTTTTGGAAAATATTTGATAGATTTCCAAAATTATGCTCATTTCATATTTATTTCATTTCGCAATATGCATTAACTAACATTACCATTCATCCATGAATGGGAATTTTTGGAGCGTTTGTCGATATCGAAATAATTTTCCAGCATATTTCCATCATCATCCGGTTCGTTGTTGTATGTTGCAAAATAATTGTTTGATTTTTCTGGAACAAAAAAATGTTATTGAGTATGAAAAATTGTTAAGATTAATATTGATTTTTTATTTTAATTGCGAGCTTATTTAACCATAACTGTCAGCCAAATTTACAATTAACAGTGCCATTTTTTTTCTTGATTTTTACCATTTTAATGAATAAATCGCTATCATATTTTAACTATCATCGCCATATTTTCATATGACCGATCAAAATAAGTCAAAATACAAATTAACATAGTTATCGATGTATCCATTTAACTATTATAAATTAGCACTTTTAGATTTAATTTCGATTACAATA